AACACCATCGTAAAAAAATCGAAAACAAGTTCTCTGCTGCTCTTCGTTTAGAATCGCTGGGCTCTATTGTTTATAAACAAAACGACGACGAACGTCAGGCAGGCAGTCAGTCAGTTAGGCAGACACACACAACTTGGCACACATAGCCGGGGCGCAGTGCTGCACCTCTGCCTCTATCTTCTTCTTCTAATCGACGACGACCACAAAGACCCAACAACAACAACAGCAACAACACAATTGTGACGATGGCGACGACGGACTAGTGGCCGTCAGTTAGTTTAGTTCACTCACTCATTATTAGTAGCGGCTGCTGCTGCGGCAGCATCAGCTAGGCATGCAGCCATCGGTCCAAGCCACAGCGCCAGCTAACAGTGAGTGGCGGTGGTGGCGACGGCAGTCAGGCATTCCATTTCCACGAACTCGGGAGGGATTTCTTCTTTTAATGCTTTTTTCGGATAGTTGCTGTTGTTGTTATTAGTTGTATTTCTTTTTTTTAAATAATAAATTTCATGTGTTCGTTCGTTCTTGTTGTTATTATTATTTTTTTTCTGTTTTTAATTTTTTGTTGTTTTCTTAATTTTATGTATTTTTTCGCATTAGTTTTGCCTGATGATTTAGGTTGGCGTTTAATGATTTTTGTTGTTTTTGTTTTTATTTTTATTTTATAATTTATTTCATGTTTTTAATGCTGCTTGCTGCTTTTGTTGTTGTTGCTATTTTCATTTTTAAAATTTTACAAAAATGCGAAAATCTTGGTGATTTGAAAAATGGCAAATCGAGAATTTTCTTTAGAGACAGACTGAAGGGAGATTCTATAGAACGCAACGGAAGCAGGGTAAAGCTGAGCAGAGAGGAGTTTTTATAGACGAAAAAATTAATGTGTAGATTTTTAAAACATATTTTTCCAAGGCTCAAATAAGTCGAACATTTTTTTTAAAATATTTTTTTAAGACTCAAATTAGCCTTAGATGTTAAAAAATATATATTTGAAAATGTTTTTTGACGGTTCATATAAAAATTATTTAAAAACAAATTTCCAAAGCTCAAATAAGGCGTGGATTTTTTGAAAATATATTTCATGTCACGGGCTTAAAAATAAGGCCTAAAGATTTGAAAAAGTATTTCTAAAGATTTTTTAAAATATTTTTTTTTTTTTTGAAGTTCAAAAAAAGCGCGTATTTTTTTTTAATATTTTTTTGGGAGGTTCAAAAAAGGTGCGGATGTTTTAAAAATAATTTCTTCAATTTCTTAATATTTTTTAAAAATAATTTTGTTAACTTCTAAAAAATTTTTTAAAAATAATTTTTTTAATTTCTAAAAATTTTTTTAAAAATAATTTTTTTTAATTTCTTAAATTCTTTTAAAAGTATTTTTTTCAGTTTCTTACAATTTTTTAAAAATAATTTTTCAAGGATCCCTACAAGGCGTGAATGTTTAAATCCTACACAACTATGTTGTCAGGGTATTATAGCTTTGTGCAACACCAAGAGTTTGTAACGCCGCGAAATATTGGTCCTAGACCCACCTTTAAGTATACCGATCATATCTCGACTAGCTGAGTCGATCTAGACATGTGTGTCCGTCCGTCCGTCTGTCCATTATATTTTGCAAACACGATACAGGCCACAGTTATGGACCAATCTTCACGAAATTTTGCATGTAGAATGCGTTCTGGCCAATGAAGACCCCTATTGTTTTTGGTGGAGATCGGTTAATATTTAGGGGATGAAATGGACCAAAAACATTATTTTTTAGTCTGATTTTCTTGTCGCTCCAGAGAGGGGTATTGGGTCAAAGAATAAGCTTGGTTGTTTTGATAGACATCGGTCAATACTTAGCGGATCAAATGGACCCTGACTTTTGTGTGAAAAATTACAAAATTTGTAATCTATGGCGTATATATTTACTCCTGAAGGACATAGAGCCGAGAAGTTAATAGTTTATCCAAGAGGAGTGATTGACCTTTAAATTGATACCAATTATATTGTCGTATGTACACGGATGTGGGAGCTATATGTAAATATTTACAGGTACTTACAAAATATTACCCAGGCACGGAATAAAAATCCGGAAAAAAAACTAAATTCTGTGGTAGTTTTGTAGGGTATCGTATGGTCGGCCCCGTCCGACTATACTGCTTCGCTCACTGGTTTTTATATAATTTTGTTAATGCTCAAACAGGTTTGGATTTTTATACCCTACACAACTATGTTGTCAGGGTATTATAGCTTTGTGCAGCCTCAAAAGTTTGTAACGCCGCGAAATATTGGTCCTAGACCCAGATCGTCCGTCCGTCTGTCCATTATAATTTGTAAACACGATACAGGCCACAGTTATGCACTAATATCCACGAAATATTGCATGTAGGATGGGTTCTGGCCAATGAAAACCCCTATTGTTTTTGGTAAATATCGGTTAATATTTAGGGAATGAAATGGACCAAAAACTTTATTTTTTGGTCTGATTTTCAGGACGCTCCAGAGGCCGCAATTATGGCCCAAACATCGGGAATTTTTACATGGAGAAGGGGATCGTTCCAACGAATAAGCATGCCTGTATTGATAAAGATCGGTCAATATTTAGCGGGTCAAATGGACCCGCTATACAGCGTATATATTTACCCCTTGGAATATAGAACCGAGAAGTTGATAGTATATCCAAGAGGAGTGGTTGACCATTAAATTGATACTAATATATGGCCGTATGTACTCAGATGTGCGAGATACACTTAAATATTTACAGGTTCTTACGTACTGAGATATTATTTAGTAACCCATTACCACACTAGAGGGCGGAAATATAGCACTGATCGCTTTGAAATGTTCAATGAGGATCCAGGTATGGTCAGGGATATCGGCTATAATTTTTGGTGAAGATCAGATACAAATTTTGGGATGAAGTGGACCGAAAACTTAATTTTTTATGTTTTTTTCTAGACGATCTATAGGCCACAATTATAATCCGAACATCACAACACAATCCACGGTGAAGGGAATATGGACAAGTAATTAGATGGACTATAGTGAATATTAGTAATATTCTGAAAATACGTCAGTGTAAGGAAGAGGTGCTGTAGACCTCTAATCGGCAAGAGGATGCAGTTATCCCGAAATATTGCCCAGACTCGGAATAAAAATCGACAGAAAGTTAGAGTTCCGTGGAAGTTGTGTAGGGTATCGTATGGTCGGCACCGTCCTACTATACTGCTCCCCCTGCTGGTTTTAAATAGTTTTGAAGCCTCAAACAAGGCATGTATTTTTTTATATAGTTTTAGAAGCCTCAATAAAATTTCCCACACTCAAACAATGTTTTGATATTTTTAAAATAATTTTTTCAGAGCTCAAATAAGGAGTGGATTAAAAAAAATAATTTTTCCGCAAAAATTCGCTCGCGAATGATAAAAAATATGATTTTTTTTCGTTTGTGCTCATTCTGCGAATGAATTTATCACGATAAATTCTTTACCCAACGAGCATTCGCCAAACGAATGTTCGCACACACATTACAAAAGAATGCGAGCACACAATAACGATCGTTCGTTGCGATGGTGGTTGAAATCATTTCTGACATTCATTCGCCAATGGCAAAGAATGATCGCAAATGTTCGCGAATGATTCTTTTTTGAGATTTTCAAAAGAACGATCTTCAGCACAGAATGCTCACGAATGAATGAATCGACGACGCTTGCAGCGAAGTTTTATCATTCGTGATTTTGTCCTGCAATGCGAACATTCGCGAGAGATTGCATATGTTTTTTTCATTCATTGTAACTTTATCATTCGCGATAAATTGAAAAACATTCGAATTCTCGCCGTGAGCATTCGTGAGAAATAGTGTATTTTAATCATTCTCCGCACCCTGAATTTTTCTAAACCGTGGAATTTCGCGAATGATTCTTTCTTTGAGATTTTCAAATAAACGCTCTTCAGCAAAGAATGCTTGCGAATGAATGAATCGACGACGCTTGCAGCGAAGTTTTATCGTTCGTGAATTTTTCCTGCAATGCGAACATTCGCTTTCGCTTTATCATTCGCGATAAATTGGAAAACATTCGAATTCTCGCCGTGAGCATTCGTAAGAAATCATTTTCCGCACCCTGAATTTTTTCAAAGGTGTGGATTTTATAAAAATAATTTTTAGATGACGTCGATTATTTAAAAAAAAATATGTTTAGATGTTCAACTATTAGATGTTCAAATACGGCATGGATTTTTTAAAAATCTTTTTCCCAAAGAATTTTAAAAAAATATTTTCCTAGCTTAAAATAAGGCATGAATTTTTTAAAAATATTTTTTTCCAAGGTTTAAATAAGGCGTGAAATTAGATTTTTTTAAAATATTCTATCATGACTCAAATAAGGCATGACTTTTTTTTAAATATATTTTGCCGCCTAAAAACCTCTGTATGACATCAGTAACATAAAATGTCTTCAACTTTTTTGCCATTTTATCTTCCGCAAATGGAAAACATAAAAAACACAAACAACAACAACAAAGTAAAGGAGATCAACATAAAAGAAGGAAGAAGAAGACGAAAAATCAACACAAAAAACCAAAACTGGAATCCTGGAGACAAAAAAACCTAACTTTACTGCCACCACATGATGATGAAGGGGGAGTGGCGGGAAAAGATTTGCGTTTGCACAACTTAGTGAATGATGCTCCGACTGGACTGGCTCTGGCAAGGTGGCAGCCAGGCAGGAAGTTAGGAGCAGCTAACTAAGCTTTGCAACAACAACAACTGCAAAAAAAACATGAAAATAAAATAAAACAAGTTACTACTTAAAGCGCGATCGGATCGGGGAGGAGGGGAATTGTAAAGAAGTCGATTTTTTGTGACTTTAATTTTTTTTGTCCGAATGCTACTCCTCTATTACCAGTGGTAGTGGTGGCCAGAGAGACCTGGCCGCACTACCTGGCACTCTGGTGGCTTTTTATGTTTATTGGGTGGTTGTCGCTGTTCAGTTCGGTTCGGTCGTTTCGTTTTCGTTTCGTACTTACCTAAATCAGCTACTCGTATACCAAAACAATTCATATCCTTATTAAGTTGCTGCGACAAAGGCAATGTTGAGGAACTCGTTAAAGAAGGCGGAGGACCAGGTGGCGGTGGTGGTGCCGTTGTTTCCTGTGGCCGTTTGCGAGCCACTGCAATACCAATTGGCACAGTATTATCTGTAAAAAAAAAACAACAACAATAAGACGGAAAGAATAAATTTTAAATTAAATTGGCAATTTCAAACAAGTAACCTAACAACATATGGGGAGGGAGGGAGGTGAGTTCCCCTCCTCTCTCTCTCTCACACGTTACTGCGTGTTGCAGAAGTTGAGGGTATTTGTTAATAGGACATTTATATGATAATTATGATAGTTTATTTTTTCTCCACTATTTTTTTGGTTTGCTATTTAGATTTCACATAAAAAAAATAATTGGCTAGTAAATAAAAATAGATTATATATAAAAATGTAAAAATTGAAAATAATTCTGGAGGAAAATATTTAATGCATACAAAGCTCAATAAGGCCGTGAATTTTTAAAAATTATTTTTTTCAGGCCCAAAAGAATCCTGGATTTACTAAAAATTTTTTTTTCAGGCCTCAAATAAGATGTGAACTTCTAAAAAAAATGTTCAAGAGTTAATGCATGGACTTTATAAAAATTTTTTTCAAGGGTAAAACAAGGCGTGTGGGTGGCGTAGGGGATGATAGATACCAAGCAACGGCTCTGAATGGCTTAAACATGCCGAAGTCCCTTTTTCATCTCAATTGTGGACACTAACCTCCCCGTGGTGCCACCTGGGGAGCTATTTTCATCACCCGATGAAATAGCGATAGCTAATATGTGCCGCGAGTTCACCCATAAGAACTGTAAAAAATGGGTTAAGGCGTGGGGTTAGTTGCCACTCTCGGAAAACCCAACCTACTATGAAGCAAAGCAAAGAAAAAGAAAACCAACCCCATCTAATGTTGACGACCCCCGCAAACGTATAAAGGACCACGATCTGCGAATGCCGATATTATTGCCTGACAGGAAAGCCGATATTATAGCCTTAGAGGAAATGCGATGGAAAGGGACTGGCGTAAGTAAATCAGATAATTACGCATTGTATTATAGCTACCATGAAACGAGATATGAATTTGGCTGCAGATTTATGGTTAACAGGAGAATAAAAAAGACCTCGTCTCCAGATTCACTCCAGTAGATGAGCAAATTGCTATAATCCGTAAAAAAGCGAAATTCTTCTACATCAGTCTCATTTGCGCCCATGATCCGATCGATGATAAAGATGAACAGACCAAAGACATATTTTACGAGCGCCTAGAAACAGCATTTGATTGCTGCCCTGGCCATGACATTAAAATTCTGCTAGGAGATTTTAATGCAAAACTCGGAAGGGAAAAAATCTTTGGCCCCACTGTTGGAAAATTCAGCCTCCATGAAGAAACATCAGACAACGGCATGAGGTTTATTGACTTCTCAAAAAATATGGTAGTTAGCATCACCAGATTCAAGCATCTCGATATTCACAAGGTCACTTGGATTTCTCCCGATCGAACAACGAGAAATCAAATCGATCATGTTGTAATAGACAAGAGGCATTCATCCAGTGTTCTAGACGTCCGATCGATCCGGGGAGCGAATATCCATTCGGACCATTACCTTGTGGCAGCCAAGGTTCCCACTCGTCTTAATGTAGCAGCAAAGGTGCGATCTAATGTAACACGGAAATTTGACGTCGAAAAACTGCAAACACAACAGATAGCAGAAGCCTACTCCGCTCAACTTACCCAACTTCTTGACGAAAGCACCTCTTGTCCCGATAATAATATAGAAACACAGTGGCAGAGAATTGTCCACTCCCTACAAACTGCAGCAAAAGCAATACTTGGGTACCAAAGACCACCATCAAGAAATCCGTTGTACGATCAGGAGTGTCGTAATGCTACTGATATGAAAAACGCAGCGTATAAGCCAACCCTGCGGACAGTAGCAACACGTAATGCGATGGAGAACTATAGGGAGAAATGGAGAGAGGAGAAACGTATTTTCAGAAAAAAGAAGAAAGAACAAGAAAAAAGTGAGCGTGAGCAAATCGAAATGTACGGGAGTCAGAATGAAGTCCGAAAATTCTACCAACGGGTAAAACACCAAACCGAAGGCTTTGGTGCAGGCACATCCTCCTGTAGAGATGAAGAAGTAAACCTGGTGACAGATACAGACAGCGTGCTGAGGATCTGGATGGAGCATTTTGAGTAACTTCTAATATCAAATAGTAGCGGTGAAGAGGATACCCCTGAACCAATAATAGATGACGGTATAGAATGTACACCACCTAGCCAAGATGAAGTCAGAATAGCAATCAATCGGCTGAAGAATAATAAAGCATCAGGTGCCGATGGGTTACAAGCCGAACTATTAAGTCTGGTATTCAAGTCTAGTGGTCAGACGCTGATTAATACAATTTGGCTAGAAGAATGCATTCCCAATGATTGGAACCTCAGCATCCTGTGTCCCGTGCACAAAAAATGAGACAATACGATATGTGCCAACTATAGAGGCATAAGTCTCCTTCCCATTGCACATAAAGTGCTATCCAGCGTGTTGTGTGAACGACTGAAGCCAATGGTCAATGACATTATTGGACCATACCAATGCGGCTTCAAACCTGGCAAATCCACCATTGACCAGATTTTCACTCTGCGCCGAATCCTGGAAAAAACCCACGAAAAACACATCGACACATTCCACCTATTCGTCGACTATAAAGCGACATTCAACAGCCCTATCCCTTCAGAGGTGTATAAAGCCATGTCTGCGTTTGGCATTCCTGCAAAATTAATTCGGCTATGCAGGATAACTGTAACAGGCACAAGATCAGCAGTTAAAGTCGGAAAGGACCTTTCGGATCCCTTTAATACCGAACGAGGATTCAAACAAGGTGACAGTTTGTCGTGTGACCTTTTTAACATCCTGCTGGATAAGGTCATACGAAAGGCAAAAGTGAACAAAAATGGCACTCTGTACACCAAACAACACATGTTACTCGCCTACGCCGATGACATCGACATAATGGGTCGAACATTGCGAGTGGTAATAGCCACCTTTGAACAAATTGAGAAGGAGTCTGTCAAAGTGGATCTGGCAGTAAACGGCGAGAAGACCAAGCTGATGGTATCAACGCGCAATACGTCCAGTAGACTCGGACCAACTGTGGAACTTGAGAACTACAGCTTCGACGTAGTCAAATATTTAATAAACCTTGGTACCGCCATAAACAAAACGAATGACATCAGTTTTGAAATTCGGAGATGACCAACAGATGCTGCTATGGTCTGAGCAAAAAATTCAAAATTCAAAAATTCGCCAGACAAAACTCACACTCTACAAGACGTTTATACTACCCGTGCAGTTATGTGGATCTGAAGTATGGGTACTTATGTAGCAGCGCTTGGAGTATTTGAGAGAAAAAAATTTCCGAAAGATATATGGGCCGATCTGCGTTGACGGTGAATATCGCCTTCGAATGAACCATGAGTTGTACCAGCTATTCGATGCGCCTGGAAATCTTTTCTATGCTCGGCTTATGGAACAAAAGTTCTGTCTAGCTAAATAACTAAGACAAGGCGTGTATTTTTCAAATATTTTTCAAGCTCAAAGGCGTGGATTTAAAAAAAAAATTTTTTTCAAGGGTTAGACAAGGCGTTTTTATTAAATTCAAAATGGTTTCCCCCGTGTTGTAAAATAGCGGCTTTAAATTCCAAAAAGGAAAGAAATTATTAAAATTGAATATACATATTTTTTGTGCCACACCATCCAACTTCCCAATATTCAGGATAAGTCGTGGAAAGGCAAACTACGGTAAAAACCCAAGTGGACACTTAACATCCACTTTAAAAACTCATACCCCTATCTACACAAAGAATAAAGATAAAAGAAAAAAACGTAAGATAAAAAACAGAAGTCACTGCCAAGATAGAAATTAAATGAATTCGAAAAAAAGAGATAATAATAACGATGACGATAATTGCTGGCTATGTCGATTACAAGGATGACTACAAATCCTCCAGATGCTGTTCACTTTACTTTTACGTGCCATCGCATCTTCGTCATGTACAAATACTCTTCTTTTACTAGAGATTTATTATGTGGAATGCTTAGATGTGGGGTGATATTTTTGAAGAAGGTACTCAGGAGGACTCGAGTTTTTTTTTTTTAAAGGAATAAATATTCAAAAATTTAATGTGACAAAATCGAGGAGATGGGGGTCTTTATTAATGAAATGACCTGAGAGGGGTTTTAATAGACTAGCTGAGAACCTTTTTTTTAATAAATTCACACCTTACAAAAATATTTTTTTTAAACCCATACTTTGTCTTACCTTTGAAAAAATGTTTTCAAAAAATCCACGCCTTATTCGAACCTTGAAAAAATATTTTTAAACCAGTGAGCGGAGCAGTATAGTCGGACGGGGCTGACCATACGATACCCTACCACGTGGTACCACGGAACTCTAACTTCCTGCGGATGTTTATTTCGAGCCTGGGCCAGATTCCCTTTACCGTGTTGTGATGTTTGGCTTGTGGCCTATAGATTGACTCAAAAAAACACACAAAATTATGTTTTCGGTCCACTTCATCCCAAATTTTTTATGTTATCATCACCGAAAATTATAGGCGGTGTCTTGATCATATCTGGAACCTCATGGATTTTTCAAAGCGATCAGCGATATATTTTTACCCTTAATAATATCCGAATACGTAAGCACCTATAAATATTAAGTGTAACTCCAAGTACATATGCCAATATAATTGATATCAATTTAAAGGTCAAAGGTAACCGATATTCGCCAAAAACAATAGGGATCTTCATTTGGCAGAAGACGTTACAAACTCTTGGGGCTGCACAAAGCTATAATACCCTGACAACATAGTTGTGTAGTGTATAAAAATTCGAACCTTGAAATTACAATTTTAAAATATCTACGCCTTATTCGAACCTGAAAAATTAGAGATTTAAGGCCTTATTAGAGATTTTAAAAAATATTTTTAAACAAAGCTATAATACCCTGACAACATAGTTGTGTAGGGTATAAAAATCCATGCCTTTGAAAAAAGTATTTTTAAAAAATCCACACCTGATTTGAATCTTGAAAAAATATTTTTAAAAAATTCAC